CTTCTCCCTCAGTCTGCTCTGTCCACAGTTGTCTTCAGCTCGGTGAAAGGAAATCCCATCAGTCCCATTGCTCCGGCTGCAGGCGGGGTCATGCTCGGTTCCTCTCTTTTGCATCCCATTTCTGACCCATAACATATCCAGCTGTACAGCCTCACTTCTCAGCACCTCCCCTGTTCCCACGTGGTCCAAGCTCCCTTTACTTCTCGTCTGGATTATTGAAATCGCCCCCTACTTCCCTCCCAGCCCAGCTCCCCTCTACTTTGAACACAATAGCCAGCCAGAGTGACCTTATATCACATAATTCAGATCATATCATTCCTCTGCTCAACCTACCTAGGGGTCCTATCTCACTCACAGTAAAACCCAAAGGAGACCCTGCAGGCTGTGACGCTCACCTCCATGTCTCTCTGACCTCATCTCTTGCTGCCCCCCTGCACTCACTCTGCTTCAGCAACACTGGGCTCCTTGTTATCCCTCCTGCACAGCAAACATGCACTGACCTCAGGGCCTTTGCACGTGCCGTTCTCTCAGCCTGGAATGCTCTGCTCCCAGTCATGCACACAGTTCCTGCGTCCCCTCACTTTGGATCTCTGTTCAAATGTCATTTTAACTGTGAGGCCTTCCCTGACCACCTTGTATAAATCGTCATTTATAATAGATAATTAAGAGAGAGAGAGAGAGAGCAAACCCCCACCCCAGCACTTCCTGTGCCCCTTACCCTGCTTTGTTTTTCTCCTTAGCACTTACCATCATCTGACATATGTATTTGTTTACTGTCTGTCTTCCACTTGACTTCAAGGACAAGGACTCCACCTGTTTCTTTCACTGTGCCTAGAACAGCACAGAGTGGAAACTCACAAATTTCTGTGGCATGAATGAATGAGCACCAGACACACATACACACGCTGATGTCCGTGATTGCAGACACGCCCACACGCACATAGGAGCCACACGCATGTACGTGGATGGGAGGGCACACGGATTACAGGAGGTGAGGCTGAAGAGTCGACAGGGCAAAGACAACATTTACTGAGCCAGGGATTAAACATCTGTACAGTAAGTGGAGACCAGTGGCCCAGAGAAGGCCACCAACACGCCCAAGATCTCATGGTGAGCTGAATGCAGGTCCAGGGCTCCACAGCCGCCTCCCCTGAAGGATTCTGAATGCCAGGACAGGGTCCCGCAGTTGACCGCCACTCAGGAAAAGCAGCTGGAGCAGGAAAGGGAGGAAGGGAGTCGGGGAAGCGTCTGCAGCATCCCTGGCAGGGCTGTGCAGAGCAGTGAAGAGCTGGCAGGTGGCCAGGGAACCTAGCCAAACCGCCCGAGGGAGGACCTGGTGGACTGGGGCGTGGAGGCCCCAGGGAAGGCGAGATGCGGGCTCAGGGCTCCACCCTTCAAATGATAGTGCGGGATACGCCCTGCACAAGGGTGCCCAGCCAAGGGGACAGGTTGGGGCTGAGAGTCAGCCACCGTTGTCCTGCCCAGTGTGCCCCCTGGCACCTGGCTGCATCCCCTCGGAAGGGTGTCTTCTCCCATTCCCTTAAAGGTGCCCTACACCCCGGTTCGAGGCCTCGCTCCATCACCAAGTATCCTGTGCAACTGTGGATAGCACTCGTGGCCGCTGCCCCTTTCTAAAGTGAGATTTGACCCCAGGCCTTTGGCCCAGGCAGTCCTTCCACAGAGAGCCACTTCTTGTCCCAACACCCCAAATGCCACAGGTCCAAATCCTTCCCGTGCTTTCACATCAAGTGCCACCTTCTCTGTGATGCTGTCCCTACCCTGCAACCCACTGTGCTTGGCCCTCTGAAGCTAAAAGACTCGCATCATGAAATTCCCTTATGGCCGTACACCATTTTGGTCTCCTGTGGTTTTTATTGTATAAGATTCCTCCAAGCGCTTCTCTGCACACTCGGAAATAAATAGAACTTGCTTTCCCTCCTCCAGTCCTGCCCGATCTGGCCTGTACCTGCCTCTCCTGCCTCATCTTCAGCCACCCCCTTGCTTTGCACCAGCCACAGTGGTCTCCTTCTTGTTCCTTAGCTTGTTCCAGCCTCTGGACCTTTGCACGTGCTGTTCTTTCTGCGTGGAAAACCATTTTGTGCCGGGTTCCTTCTCATTCTTCCAGATCACCCAAATGTCACCTCCTCTGAGAGGCCCTCCCTGATACTCTATCTATAGTAACACAATCACCCCAGCCCTTCCATCATTCTCTTCCTCTCTCTTTCCTCCTTTATCTTCCTTCTTAACACTTAGGACTCCCTGAAATTGTATTGTAGATTTCATTCCTTTATCACTAGAGGGTCAGCTGCTTGAGGGCTAAGAATTACTTTGTTTATTGCTTCGTCCCCAGTGCCCAGCACATGTGCTGACATCAGGAAATGTCATATTTGGAAATGTAAATATTTGTGGAAAGTGTAGATGAATAACCAGAAGAAATGCATTTCTCTCCCGATATATATAGCTGATTGCATCTTCCTGTCTTACACGAAGAAATGATTTTAAAAGTTTGTTGAATAACTGAATGAAATGCATTTGTCTCCCCACTGGTAGTAGGTACTAATGAATGAATGAATGAATGAATGATTGAATCTTAATGTGCCCACCTCTTGTAAAACGTGTTATAAAGAAAGGAAACGAGGGAGAGAGGGCAACAATGGGGTGCCTGCACACGTGGGGGAATCGCCCCTTGCTCCCCGCTCCGGCACTCCCCACAGCCCTCCCAGAGGTGGCCCCAGCCTCCCCCAAACCCTCCCTCCCACCCGCCCCTCCCCTCTGAGTCCCTGCAGGGCTGTGATGGCCCTGGAACTGCCTGATGGAGTCAGGGGAACAGTTCCCGCTGTGTGCAGGGAAGTCATAAGCTCCAGGAAATGAAGGCTTCGCAGCCGCGCCTCCTCCTCGCCCATAACTCCAGCCTCATTACGACCAGCCCAGGCCATAACGTGGGGAATCAAAGCCGGATCCCCAGAGGCGGCGGCACAGCTCTGGGCTTGCGGAGCGAGGCCACGGGGGGGGGGGGGGGAGGGTCTGCCCACAGCCCTTGGCTCTGCCCTCATGCCCAGGCTCCACAGAGTGGGCAAGGAGGGTGGGACAGGGGGGCTGGGGATGCTCAGAGCAGAGTCTCGGGTCCTCCTGACCTCCATCCGTTCAGGGTGGGGCCAGAGGGAGAGAGGGCACAGCACGGTCAGGACTCCACTCCTCCATTCTCCCCTGGGACTCTTGTTTTCTCCTCCTCATTGCCTGGAAATGCAGTTTTAACCCCCTCACCGTCACCCCCACCTTCCAACAGATGACTCTCTACCCCAAAACCCCTTCCATAATGGAATTCCGGAGCCCACACTGGGGAACAGCACCAGAGAGTCAAGCATCTGCAAAATGGGTATAAGACACCGATTTTCACAGTTGTTACTCATGTGAGTTAGTGAGTCAGAGGCGTGAGAACTGCCTACTGTGGTGCCGGGTCACAGGAAATGATCTGTATTTCTTCTGCCCCAAAGATTCCAGCCACTTCCTTCCTCCGAAGGAGGACCTGCCTGGGGCCAGGCCAGTCCCTCCCAGGTCCTCTGCCCAGCCACGCACCTTGAACCTCCTGTTTTCAACCTAACTCCCCAACCTAGCCAGACCACCCCAGCCAGCCCACACACGCCTCTGTTGGGATGCCCAGGCCTTGCTTCCCACCTGCTCAGATGCCCCCTCCTCCAAGACATAGCCCTGAGTCCCTCCTGCCCACCTCCCCGTTCCAGACCCCTGCGCCCACTCCCTTCCCTGAGCCCCTCGGGCCTCAGGTTGCACCCCTTTGATAGCCCCGATCACAAGCCGCCTGGCATGTAGGTTGTTAGTGGGGCCGTTGTCTCCCACTCCGCTAAACTGTGCCCTCGTGTATGTTTGTCCTCGCATGCAGCCCCAAGCTGGCCCCGAGTGGAAGCTCAGCAGGATTGAGCTGTTGGACTCAGCTGCCCTGGGCTTGGGGAAAGGAGTGGGGATGGAGCCCCTCACCTCCACTCACTCCTCTCAGGGCCCGAAATCCCTCCATCAAAGCAGCATTGCTGTCCCCCGTAAACACCCACATCAGGCCATTATTCATCATTATGGCTTGAGTAGGAGTGCGTCCCTCAGACCCTTTCTTGCTGAAAGCAGGATCTGGTGGAGGGAGGGAAGGAGAGATGGATGGATCTGAGGAGGGCTGTGCTGGTCCAGGATGGGGGAGGAGACGGATGTGTCTCTCCAGACTCTGCGAAAGGAAGGTTTTCTGAGGGAATGTGGAGACATCAAAGGCAAGCTCAGAGGGGTTGTGACCCTGCCCAAAGTCACACAGGGCGCCTCCAAGCAGGGTCTTCTGGGACTCGGGTGCCCCACCACTGAAAAGCAGTATAGGGGGACTAGCAGGAGGTCAGAGGCCTCCCCTGAGCTCCTGTTTTGGATGGAATGACCTCTCTGTGCTGCTGTGGGAGGGCAGGAGTGGTAGGGAGAAGGCTAGGTGCTGCAGTCTGTGTGCCCAGGAGGCCTGGGTCCCGAGGGCTCTCGAAGACCTGGTCTGGAAGGGCCTGCTGCTCCCTCTCTGGGGTGGGGCGGGGGAGGTGGGGAGCCGGGGCGGAGATTTCTATGGGCGGGGCTGACCTGGAGAGATTGTCAGCCAGGGTCAGAGGACGAAGCTCATAAGGTCCTGCTCCTGTGGGCTTGGGAGCTGGTGGAGGACCACTGAGAAGGAGCTGGGTGAGGGGGCTGTGAGAAGAGGGATGGGTGCTGAGAGAGGAGAGGTGTAGGGTGGGAGTTCACAGGAAGGGTCCAGAGCTGGGGGCCTGGGGGAGCCGGCAGGACTAATAGACTTTGGGCCCAAGAGGGCAGGGACCACGGTGGGTCACTGTCATGTCATGTTTGTTCCACGCTGCACGGTGCCAGGCACACAATAGGTGTTTAATTAGTACTTAAGGGACAAAAGATAGACTCGCCCTGCCCTGCCCCCATACAGAGCCTCCTCTGATGTTTTCTTGTTTCTCTCGCAGGCTCCTGGTGAGGACGGCCCCTGGTCATCCACGGATCAGCCAGGCCCCCACCAGCACCCCTCTGCGCAGGGACCATGGCGCACACCAGACTCGGGAGCTGCGGAGGTGCTGCCTGGTGATCGGGTCGCGGCGGCGCAAGGGGGGCGCGGGCGGGGACCCCGGGGGCCGTCCATGCCCCGGGAGCGGCCGCGCCCCCTCCCGCTCCAGCCGGGCGCCCCCTCGGCGGGCCGGCGTGCAGGGCCTCGGGCCTGTCCGGGTGCCCCGTCGGGGGCGGCGCCCCGGCGGCCGCGCTGAGACCATCATGTGACGCGGCGCCGCTCCATCGTGCCACCGAGCCGCGACGCCCTGGTGCCTCCCGTCCATGCTCCTGGGCCCCGGCACCGCGCAGGCCAAGCATGAGGCCGAGGCCCGACGGGCGGGGGCTCCGGGCGGGGGCCGCGCTGTCGCCCGCGCTGCTGCTGCTGCTGCTGCTGCTGCCACCGCCGCCGCCTCCGCTGGGCCGCCTGTGGGCGGCGGGCACCCCCGCGCCGCCCGCGTCCGGGGCTCGGCAGGATGGCGCGCCGGGCGCGGGCCGCGTGAAGCGCGGCTGGGTGTGGAACCAGTTCTTCGTGGTGGAGGAGTACACGGGCACCGAGCCCCTGTACGTGGGCAAGGTAAAGTGGGACCCCACACCGCTGTGTCACGCCCGGGACCCCGGAGACACCCACTGGTAGACGCAAGGGACCCCACTTCTCCCTCAGCCCTAAATCCCCGGTGCCTCCTCCCAGCGGCCCCTGGCCAGGGCCAGACAACAGGATTAGGATGGTGCACTGCACTCGGGCACCCCCACACCCTTCTCCAGTCCTCCTCCTTCTGCATCTCAGAGCAGCCAGTGCTAACAGGTAAACCCAATCCATCTGGTAGCTAGATGCATCTGGAATGTAGAAACGAGTTTGCAAATCCTATGGTGTCACACACGTGCTCTCCCCACTCTGCTTAGAATTCTTCTGTGGCTGCCCGGCACTTGGGGTCAAGCCCAGATTCCACCCCGTTGCCTGCTAAGATCTGATCTCTCCAGCCTCATCTCCTGCCACCCTCTCTCTGACTTTCGGCCACAGCACCCCTCGGATGCCCTTCTGATGGTCTCTGCAGTGCCCCTCGCTCTCCTGCCACAGGCCCTGTGCCCAGGTGCTTGCCTCCCCCTGAACTGCCCCGTCCTGCTGCTTCTACTGATGACTTTGTAGTCACACTCGGGTATCCGCTCAAATGCTGCTTCCTCAGAGAAGCCATCCCTGACCACGCCAGGCTAGGACAGATCCCCCTGTTATGTGCCCTCCGAGGTCCCAGTATCTTCCCTTCATAACTCTTAATTATGCATGTGTTTGTTTGGCTTTGCAATTAATGTATGTCTTTCCTATTAGACTGTGTTTGTTTTACTCCCCATTAAATCCCCAGTGCCTAGCACAAACATTGCTCACAAACTGCTCATTAAGTGAGCAAATGCATGAAAGACACTTTCTCAAACTGTCTGAGTAAATGCTGGATAATGTGGCTCTAGGAGTAGAAGGAGCTGAGAAGGACTTTCATTCATCACTTTGATCCCTGAGCCCCTCGTGGGTGTGATACTGGAGAGGCAGAGGCAAATAAGATCCAGCCTCTGCCATTTGGGGGCTCCCCAGAGTGGCAGAGACACCCTGGTGCATAAAAAGCTTCGTGGGTCAGCACCTGGCACTGCGTACGCATTTAGTAAGTTGCCTCATGGAGGAGAATGCACCTGAGCTGGGTTTTGATGTACAAATAGGAGTTCACCAGGCTGATGGGGAAGAGAGCATAGCCCATGCAAAGACTTGGAGGCCTGGGGGAGCCTGGCTTATTCAGAGACTTGGTGGCAGTTGAGGTGTTGAGGTGGGGGGGTTCGTGGGACGTGACAAGCAGGGCGGTGCCAGGGACAGTCTCTGGCTTCTGCTCAGGCCAGGCAGCTTTCCAGGAAGCTTTGGTGGGCAGACATGGGGGGAGACCAGCTCTGGAGCTCCCTATGTGCTGGAATGAGTCTGAGAATTGGGAGGCTAAGCAAGTGGTTCAACTCAGAGGCTCAGGGATCAGGACCCTCCACCTGGGAGGGAAGGAAAGTGTTGATGCAAACTTTTGGGTTTCCCTTGCAGAAAACCCAGATTTTCTCTGGTCCAGACAGAGTCGTCCCTGGTCCTTGGCTACTTTCCCCTCCGCACATGTGGCTGAAGTTAATCCCTGCAATTGAGAAAAGGCTTTGACAGATAGAGCTCAGAGAGGTTCATGTCCTTGCTCAAGGTCACCCAGCAAACTAGTGGCAGAGCCTAGAACTCCTGACTCCCAGCCAGGGCAGTGAGATGGTGGGATTGGTAGAATGGGGTGAGGGGATGGGGAAGAAGGATCTAGTGCTGACTAGGCTATGGTGATGTGGCTAAGAATGCAGGCTTTGAAGCCAGACACACCTGAGTTTGAGACCCGGTTCTGCCAATCCATGAATGATGTTACCTTAAACAAGTTACTTCACTTCTCTGGGCCTCAGTCTCTTCATCTGTGAAAGTGGGGCTGAGAGCCTACTTTCTAGGCTTGTTGAAAGGACTGAAAAAGAAAACTGAGCCCAGAAAGTGTTCAGCCTGCAGCCTAGTTGTTTGTTTATTGTTATTTTCTCATTATTCCCATATAAACTCCCATAGAAATCATTGTTGCCTTTCCAGGCAAGGAAACAGGTTCAGAGAGGGCAGACGCGTAGAGTGGCAAGTGGCTTGGCCGGGATTTGAACCTGTGTGTGTTGGAGGCCAATCCCAGCCTGATTCTCCAAACCTCTCTGAGCCCTCCAGGCCTGGGAGAAGGACTTCGGTCCAGGAAAACCCCAGAGAGACAGGGAAGGACTCTGGCACGTCTGCCTAAGTGTCAGCTGTGGTGGTCTCAGGCCCCTCAGCCCTGTGGTGTGCCCAGCAGCTGGGGCTCTGAGAAGGCCTCCCCAGCCACCCGCATCCTGAGAAGATGAGAGAAACCAGCCGCTGGTTCACCGCTTTCATCTGCATGCACTTAGCCGTTATCATCTCAGCAGCGGAGCCGAGCAAAGCCCACCGCATCTCCGTGAACCATAGTCTGTCAGCAATGGGAGGGCCCTAGGAAGTCTCTTCATTATCAGACAGGGAAACCAAGGCCAGAGGCAGAGAACGTCATCCCAAGACCACACAGCAAAACGGTGACAGAACCAACCCAGGAGAGCAGATCTCCTGACCCGGGCTTTGGGCCCAGTGCGATTTAACTGTCCTGTTTTAAGCATCTGCTGTGAGCCAAGCATTGTGCCGGGCCAGGGTTCTTTCTTCTTCTCACAGCCACCTCTCACATCATCCCCACTGCTGTCCTGACTCTCTTGTCCTCCCTCTCCATTCTCTTCACCCAGAGCCCCTCCTCTCTTACTCTCAAGGCCGCTCCCAGCAAGGCACTCCAAGCAGCGAGGAAAGAGGAGTTTCCATCATTTTGCAAGCATTTGCCCAAAGCAGTTTCTTACGAAAGGTGGCCCAGTGTGTGGTTCAGGGGGGCCAACTGGAGCCAGACTGCCAAGGCTCGTATCCCAGCTCTGCTACTCGTTATCTCTGACCTTGAGCACATTATTTAACCTCTCTGTGCCTCAGTTTCCTTTTCTGTTGAGTGAGGCTGTTACTAGCACCTCCTCAAAGGGTTGTGGTGAGGATTCAGTGAGTTAGCGCATGTCAAGAGCCCAGAGGAGCGCCTGGCTCCTGGATGTGCTTGGTAAGTATCAGCTTTTATTATCCTGGGTCCCACCTGACAGTTCCACCACCTTGAACATACTGTATATACACGTTCGCTACAAACCCCTTGCCCCGAATCCTGAAAGCATTCTTCGCCACGTGATGTCCTAGTTTCTCACCACAAAGTCGGGGGAGACGGTTGCTAGCCCACCCCTTACTCCAGGAATATGAGCTTGGGCTTTTAAAAACCACTTATTCCCTTTGCAGCCGAGTCCCACGTTTGTACAAGTGGTTGTGTGTGCACACGCATGCTTACACATGCACACACTCAGACCACGCTCTCTCGCTCTTCAGGGAGAAAGGACTTCTCCACGGTTTCAGTTAATTCACTGCTTCCCGGTCCCCCGCCCCAGGGAGCTGCTCGGAGCATCCGTCCTTGTCGAATTCCAAAGGTAGCTTAGCAACAGCACCATCCGCGGAGTGAACCCCGGGCGCCCAACGGTAACCTATTTTGCAACCGCCTGCATCACTCAGCACCAGGTTCCTGTCGGCACCCGCAGGAACCGCCGGGCCCCGTGATTGTCTCGAGGCCCTGCACCAACAGCTCCCTCCCAGGCCTGCCTCCCCTGCAGCCCCGGCTCACCTCTTCCCCTCGCCTTCTCATGACACCCACCCTCAAAGCAACCTCCCAGTATTTCCATACAATCTGGCTACGTTGACTAATCCCTTTTCCGAACTGTAATTTCCCCCGAGGCTTCTGTCAGCTGGATGTGGATTTTGTAGGATTTTTAATTTTTTTAAAAAAAGATAGAATTATGGGGTCAGCGCTTATGACCAACTCCTGTGGGCGCCGAGATCTATTTTAGATATACGGCAGGATTAAATTGGGGAGGAGAGCAGAATTAATTAAGTTGCTAATATTTAAAGAAAATTGATGAACTCCGGTTTACAAGTAGCGCAGGCCTGAACCGACCCCTCATGCTGGGGGAGCCTCTTTATTTGATTTGCTTTCCGTTTAAATCCTGGGCTCGTTTTATTTGCGTAGCCGCACTGTCCGTTTAATTGTCTTTAATAAGGAAAACGTACCTCTGTTCGCATTTAATTTTGATTTAATTAGGAGGAAGTAATTAATGGCCTCATAAATCCCATTTTTCAGCCCCCTGGGATGAGAAGCCATCACTCTTATGTTTTTCGCGTTGTTTGTGATCCAGGGCTGGGGCATGGGGAGGAGGAGTCTCCTCCGGGGCTGTCCACATTTGATGCAGTGGGAAGAACCCAGGATGTGGGATCAGACAGGCTTCAGGTCTGTTTCCTATTAGCTGTGTGACTTTAGGCGGGATATGGGCCCTGACTGAGCCTCAGTTTGCCAAACTGTACAATGGGGAGAGAATAATCTCTGATTCACAAGATCATTATGAGACAGCACTGAGGGTCTAGAGGTGTGCCCAGGGCCTCTCCTCCTAGTCTCGTTCATGTGGACCTGAGATTGAACAGACCCCAGAAGACAGTTGGGGAATCCCAATGACAGGTGTGTATTTCATCATTTGTTTATTCAGTATGTTTGGTGCTGTGCTCTGTGCTGGGTGCTGGGGAGATGGAACCGAAGCCATATGCTTGACCCGCAAGGAGCTCAAAACCTCACACTCTCGTGTGCACACACACACACACACACATTCACATTCAGCTCTGTCACTCCTCCTGTATTTTCTCTGCAGGCGCTATCAGGGCACCTAGAGTGTGCCAGGCATGGGGAGTCCAGACAGAGAGGAATCAAAGTTAGTCCGTGCCCCTGAGGCCCGTGACGGCTGCAGGAACGATGTGTGATACCGCAGTGTCACAGGGGAGGGTGGAGCAGAGAGGATGTGCGTGGGGCAGGGGTGCAGAGCAGGGTAGGGACTCTTCAACCAAATGGGAGGGCGTCTGAGAGGGCTGCCTGATGGAGGAAACAGCTACGTGTAAAAGACAAGGAAGGACAGGAGGATGGCCCCTGGTCTCCAGTGCGTCAGGATTCGAGCCTGTGGTTCTTGTATCAGGAGATGGGGGATGTGCTGGGTGGCCCGCAATCCCACCGGAGACCAGGGCCGGAAAAGGAGAGGGAACTGAGCTGCACTGAGTACCTACTGTGTGCCAGGAGCGTCCACATATTATCTCCCAAATCTTCAGAACTGTGGTGAAGCACTATCAGTCTGATTTACAGATGAGAAAACTGAGGCTCAGAGAAGGGCAGCCTCCTACCCAGGGCTATGCAACAAGTCAGTGACAGAGCTGAAGCTGGCGCCCAGCTGTTCCTGAATCTAAAGCCCGCCATCTCTCCTGATTTGTGATTTGAAGTCCTTTTCCGAATAATGAAATAAAGGCTCAGATTGAAGAATAGAGGCCACCGATGGCTGTGGCCTGTAAGTTCAGGGCAGAAGACTGGTGTCCAGGCCTCTCCCCCAGCCCGGCAGCCCAGTGACTGCCCTGCAGCCCACCCCTCCTCCTTTCTCCCTCTTCCTTAGCCAGAAGCCAACTCAGCAGGTTCCAGAGGCTGCAGAGGGACCAGCCTGGGCATTGGAGTCGAGCAGACCTGGGCCCATCTCAGTCTTTTCACCTGGAAAATGGGGACATATTTATATACGCCACAAAGTTAAATTAGACTTCTGCAGAGGCCTGCATGTCTGACACATAGTAGGCACTCAATAAATGAGAGCATCATCCTCCAGCCTCCACTCATGGCTGAGAGTCTTGAGAAATGTCCTCCTGGGGAAAAGCCCCAGACGGCGCCTCTCCCCTCTGAGCCAGGACCCAGGCAGGCAGGGCAGGCAGCCCCAGTCCAGCCCAAATCTGAAGATCTCAGCTCCTGCACAGCCCACCAGCCTTGTCTGACTCTGCAGTCCCCAGAGAGTAGCTACTGGGCCCCCGCGTGAGCTGTGTGTCATTCTTCACGGAAGAACATCGATGACCTCAGCGCTGGGTTCCACTCCCTCCTCCCCACTCTTCACTGGTAAGTGACTCCTGTCCAGGGTCTGAGTTAAAATACGAGGGCTACAGGGGCATGATGGAGACCCAGGAGACAGAAAGGGAAGGAAACAGCCATTTACAGAGTGTTGGGTCATTACAAACGTGCTCTCATTTCGTCCTCACCACGCCTGCGCCAGGTAGGGCTTAAACTGACTTCACAGGTGGGAAACGGACTCCAAGAGGTAAAATTAACAAGCCTGTGGTCACAACATTAATGAGTGATGGGATCAGGAACTTGGCTTCCCACGCTTCGCTGTGTGACAAAGCAAATGACTTGCCCTCTCTGTGCCTCAGTTGTCTCATCTGAGAAATAGAAAGCATGATAATCTTTCATATGCCAGTGATAAAACTAATAAGATTATAGCTGTTAAACATCCTCCCAAATGGTATCTGTTCTGCCACATTGCTCAGAAATGTTTGCCGATTAAACAAGCAGACAACGGGTCTGATTGGGAAGCGGCTGGAGGCTCCCTAACAGGGAACATAGCCACCCTCTCCTGTCCCCATCTCCCCTGGGCCAAGGTGGAGAAAAGCATAAAGAGCAAGAGGAGAGACAGGACTCCTCATGCCCAGCACTGCCAATGATTCAGGGCCGACATCCTGAGATAATTTTATTGGGGGCATTAAACTGAGTTATGAGGTTTTTACAATCCAGCCACTTATGAGAAATCTATTAACAGTAACTGGACAGGAAGAAGGCTTCTCGGTGGAGCCCAGGACGGGCATTAATTGGGGCAATCTATAACAGGACGGGGACCCAGAAAGGTTCCACCAGCCGCTTCCATTTACTCCCCGCAATTTCTGCTGAGAATCAGCAGACTCGCCAAAAAGAGAGAGATGCCCATTAATCGGCTAATGAAATATGAAAATGTTTATGGGCCATTCAATCTTCCAAATGGCACTTCTATAATCCACCTTTCAGACACAAAGTTCCGCCAGCAGAATTTATACCCGGGCTCCTCCCGCGTGGCAGGGGGTGGGTTTTCTTCCCCCTTCGTGGCGACTTCATTGGTATCTGTTATCCTGCCCAGTGGGCTGGGGGACACGGCATCCTGGCCCGAAAGGGCCTTAGGGATTCTCTCATTCACACCCTGCCTCTGCGGAAGCTTAGAGAGGAGCAGGGACACGCCCAAGGTCACCCGCCTCGTCAGACGCATTTTCCTCCGCTGAGAGCTGCCTCGGAGATTTGGGCATCGGAGGCTGAGGACTCGGGTGTTCCTGTTTGGGAGAACAGTCTTCTTGTTGGTTCCTTGCCCAGGAGATCGCAGCGCAGTGAAAACAGCCTGGGATGGATCTGAAGCCTAACGGTGTCTGGATTAAATCCCAGTTATATATAGCCAGCATTTAGGAATAATAGAATAATAACGATAGTGACCATTTATCGGACACATCGTGTCTCAGGCAGGGCTGATTCTCAGGTAACACGTGTCAGTAGAGTTGTACTCGTCGTTAAAATAGTGGGAAAGCTCTCTACCTGCAGGAAATAGTCCCTCTCTTCTTCTCCCCAACCCCCCGGCCCCTCAGGCCTCTCTGTGATCCAGCAACCAAAGGGTTCCTGCCTGGCCCAGCAGGGGCCCCGATGCAGTACACTCCGTGGGCAGCGCCCCTGCCATGCTGGCTGCTAAATGTTGTAAGTGTCACATGGTGCCAAGCAGGTTCTAAGCGCCTCATGTGGCCTTTCAACTCAGTCCCCCAACACCTCTAGGAGGTAGGTACCGTTATGATCCACATGTTACAGAGGAGGCGACGGAGGTCCCCAAAGGTGCAGTGACGTGTGTAAGGACACACAGGGAGAGGATGCTGGAGCCACAGCCGGGCTGTGCAGCGTCTTCCTCCCCACGAGCTCCTTCCAGGAGGCTCGAGGATGGAGCGAGGAAGCCACGGCTATGGACCAGCCCAGCTCTTCTAATGATCTGACCTTGAGCAAATCATCCCACTTCTCTAATCCTCAGTAGGAAAATGAAGAAAAAAAAAATCTGCAAAATGAGGATAGCAAACCCTACTCTAGAAGAGCTTTTTTTTTAAGAACCTTGAACTAAATCAGTATGTAAATTGCTTAGCGCAGGGCCAGGCACACAGGAGGTGCTCCTTTGGTTTGCATTCTCTTCCTCCTCCCTCCCTTCACGCCCTGTCCCCACCGTGTGCCAGGCTCTGAGGCTGGCTCTGCAGATACTGAGATGAGTAAGATACCCGCCTCTGGGGGCTTGGGGCCTGGGGAGACTGGACCTATAACTCAGAGTGAGGTCATGGACAGCCGTTTGGAAGCTTGTTAGAAATGGAAACTCTGAGAGCCCCACCCCAGACCTACTGAGTCAGAATCTGCATTTTAATGAGATCCTCAGGTGATTTGCATGCACATTAAGGTTTGAGAAGCACTGGCTACAGCGATCCGACAAGCTGAACATCATAATGGCTTGACGTACTGCAGAGATCTCGGAGGGAATGGGGGCGGGTGTCCAGAAAAGCTTGTGGGAAGAGGTGGCATTTGAACTGAGCCTTGCAGATGAGTAGACTTCTATAGGCAGAGAAATAAGGAGAGGGTGCTGAGAGCAGGAGCAGGGAGGTGTGGGGGTGGCTCTGGACATCTTTGTAAGGATAATGGGGAGCCACGGAAGAGTTGCAAGCAGGGGAGATGTGTTCAGGTCTGCCTCTGAGACTGATAGCTCTGGCTGCAGGGGGGAAGGTGAGGCCTGGGACTGGGGTGCAGCATGGCTTCCCCGGCCTCAGTGTCTTCACTGAAGGATGGGTATGTCGAAGGAGAGATGGGCTAAGGAACAGGCCCCCCATGGGACTTGAGGGCAGAGGCTGAGAGTGTCTTCCACCCAGTCTCCATCCTGCCTTCCTCCTGCTTCCCCCCAGATCCACTCGGACTCAGACGAGGGTGACGGGGCCATCAAGTACACCATCTCAGGCGAGGGGGCTGGGACCATCTTCCTGATTGATGAGCTGACGGGTGACATCCACGCCATGGAGCGCCTGGACCGGGAGCAGAAAACCTTCTACACACTGCGGGCCCAGGCTCGGGACCGCGCCACCAACCGTCTCCTGGAGCCCGAGTCGGAGTTCATCATCAAGGTGCAAGACATCAACGACAGCGAGCCCCGCTTCCTGCATGGCCCCTACATTGGCAGTGTGGCCGAGCTCTCACCCACAGGTGGGCTGCGGGCTCTGGGGGGTGGCGGCGAGCCAGGCTGAGGGGGAAAGGGAGCTGCCAGGTTCTGAGTGGGAGCCTGCTGGGGGGAGTGGCTGACACTCTGGGGAGGGCAGGAGAGACAGAAACTGCCTCAGGCACAGTCCTGAACACAGTTGCAGCCACAGACCTGGACAAAGGCACACAAGTGACCTCAGATATACACGTGGACACAGTCCCCACGTGGACGTGGCCTACATGTGGACACAGCGACACACCTGGACATGGTCATGGACCCACATGCAGTCACACACACAGGCCCAGCCCCCCGGACAAGCTCAGGCGTCCACCTGTACACAGCCACACTCAGGCCCGGCTCCACACAAGGCAACATGGGGACAGTCACACACACAGACACAGCACAGCCCTTGGCCACAAGCCCTACATAGCCTCAGGCACAACTGAAGACGGGTACACCTACAACCGGAAACAACCAGAGTGGGACGCAGCTGAAACAAGCCCAAATGCACAACCGGACACAGCGTCACAGCTGTGACGCAGCCACAAAAAACCCCACCCAGGAAACAGCTCCTCACACAGCTGGAGCTCAGGCACAGACACAGCCGCCTGCGGAGACGCAGGCAAAAGCCACAACCAGACGTTACCACTGGGGACCAGGCTCCCCACAAGGGTAGCCACAGGCAGGCACAGGCACAGCCAGATGTCACGGCAGCATCCAGACAGCATCATTCCTGCCCACAGGGAACCCAGCCCCCTGGGGACACAGGTTCCCAGAGATGGCTGAGCCCCCAGACACAGATTCGGCTGCATACACCTGGCATGGCTGCAAACATCCAGGGGCACTGGGCATACACAGTTGTACACGTAGAAAAAGGAGCACACCCACTGAAACACCTCTGCAGAGAGACCTCAGGCCTCCCATTCTCAGAAACTCGCGTTCATGCGGCAGCGGGGCCCTGAAGCTAAAGGTTGGACGGATCTTCCCTCTCCCACTGTGGGGCCCACAGACCATTGTCTGACCATCAGGGCCCCACTCCGCCTGGGGCTCCTGGTAGAGACTAGAGTTGTGGGGTGAGGGGCATAGCCTGTAGCTGCCATGTCCTTCCCCACCACGTTAACCTAGGTCACCTGCAAGCCACCTGGCCAGGGAGCAGTGGCTCCAGGTCCTAAATACCGCATTCTGTTGCTAACACACTGTGGCTGAGGGCTCGGCGCTGCTTCTCTGTAGGTCTTGCAGTGCTGCGGCTGCATGTCAGAAGCCGGGGTATTTGGGTTCTTGGCAGAGGGCAGTCAGCCCCAGCTTCCTCTGATTGAGCTAAATCTGGCAGATTGGCAGGTAATGAACAGGCTGCCAGGAATGGCAGAGGAGGAAGTGGACCAGAGCAAATAGTGAGCGCAAAGGGATGGCGGGGGAGCGGGAAGGGTGAGGTTGTGAATGTGAGTGCAGGCTGGCATACACATACACACACAGGTCCACAGGTATACTGGTATGCACATTCATGGCCAGCTGGATGACACCTTAAGGCCTGTGCGTGCACGTGACATGCTCTGTGTCTATCTGAGTGTTTCATTTAACGAGTACGTATGAGGACATGTGCTAGGCACTGGGGACACAGCAATGAAGACGGGCAAGCTTCCCTGCTCTTATGGAGGGCATGTTCTGGCTGGGGAGGACGGGCAGGAAGCAAGTAAATGAACAGATCATTGGTCTGGGAAGGCTTCTTGAGGAGGTGACATTGAAGCAGAGATCCCAAGGGCATGGGCCCTGGGGGAAGAGCATTCCAGGCAGATGGAACAGTCTGTGCAAAGGCCCCGAGGAGAAGTGGAGAGGCGAGCAGATCACGCAGCCATGTAGCCCATAGTCAGGGCTTCGCCTTTATGCTGAGCGAGCTGGGAAGTCAGTGGAGGGACTTGTCCAGAAGAGTGACATGATCTGACTTGGCTTTAACAGGGTCCTGTGGCTGTTCCGTGAAGATTAGATGTGGGGGAGGGGCGAGGGCAGAAGCAGAGTGTCCACTGAAGAGGATATTGCAATTACCCAGGCAGGAAATGATGGTGGCTTAGGACAAGGCGGTACCAGCAAGGGTATTGAAAAGAGGTCGACTTTTAGATATATTTTGAAAGCAGAGCTGAAAGCATTTGCTAATGGTTTGGATGTGGGGTGTGAGAGAAAGAAAATTCCAGGATGACTACCAAGATTTTGACCTGGGCAATTAAATAGACGGAATTCCCACTGGCTGAGATGGGAGAAGCCGTGGAGGAGCAGATTCGGGGGACGGAGGGAAATCAGGTGCTTGGTTTCAGACGTGCTAAGCTGGAAGTACTTATTAGAAAGCCAAGTGGAGATCTTGAAAAACGTAGTTCAATATACAGGCTCAAAGGAAATGTCCGGGCTGGAGAGATACATTTGGAAGTTGCCAGTGGCAAAGACCCACGGATTTTCAGGGCTCAGCAAGTGCTTAGAAATCAATTTTGCAAGTGGGGAAACTGAGGCTCAGAGGAGCAGTGATGTGTCGAAGGTCACGCAGCAAGTCAGAGGTGGCTCAAGGCCCTGACTTCCCAGGTCCAGCAGCCCCCACTCTGGGACCCAGACTCTAGCCTAAGAAGACATGGCCCTGTGTCTCTTCACCCAAAAGTGACCTGCACATTTCCACATGGAAAAGACCAGAAAGGGGGCGAGAGATGAGGCTGGAGGAGGAAACGGGAGTCACATCTGAAGGACGTAGCCCGGGAAAGGCTTAAGCAAGGAGGTGGCATGGGCAGACTTGCATTTTAGAGCATTGCCTCTGCTGTAGCCTGGAAAATGGATGGGGCTGGGGCTGGGGGCTCCAGAGGGAGGGGCGGCCCCTTATCCACCAGGTGGCTTGTCCATCACCGCTTCACTCTCACTGTAGCCCTGAGAGGTGGCAAGACTGCTGGTAGCATCGCCATTGAACAGATGGGGCACCGAGGCTCAGAGAGAGATGTACCCACAGTCACAGCAAGTCAGTGACCGAGCAAGTCGCTGGGCTTGGCTCCCAGGCTGTTGGAGGGGCAAGGGTCCTGGTGTCACACGTAGGGAAACTGAGACCAAGAGGAGGGCAAGGACTTGTTCAAGGTCACCCAGAGAGTAAGAGGCAGAGCCAGCCCCCAGCTTCCCGGGCACTGGCCTGAGGAGCCCCGGGCCAGCCTCAGCTGCCTTAGCTGCCTCTCCCAGCCCTGACGCTGACATTCCACTCAGGAGAAAGGCAGGCGGGGGGACTCAGGAGGGGGAGGGAGGAAGCAGAAATTAAATTAGTTTATTTCGTTTGAGCAACTTTTTGAAGGGGAAGCAAATCCGACACCGGGTGCTTGCGGTGACCCCAGGCCACTTTGAAAATCAGTCACAATTACCAAGCCTCCTGATCCGGGCTGAGGGGGGCGGGGCCGACACGCGGCACTGGGGTCTGGGCGGCTTCGGAGATCTGAGGGAGCGAGGACGCAGCTTGGGACATGAAAGGCAGCAGCGCTCACAAATTAAACCACTCGCAGCTTAAAAGCGAAGAGAAGTGTGCCGGGGGGCCTCTGATGAGCCACGCTTGTGAGGAGGGGCGTGCCAGCCACACTGAGCCCGACGGAGCGAAGCAGGGCCTGCTCCCCCCGACCTTGGGCAATTCCCTGCCCCTCTCTGAGCCTCAAGTTCCCTGCTGAGCATTCAGGGGTTCGTTCAGCCCCAGATATTTGAGTTGCCTGCTCTGTGCCAGGCGCTGTTCCAGGCACTGGGGATTTATAGGAAGCCTGCGTATGGAGCAGGGAGAGAGACGGGAGAGAAATAAACAAACCAATAGACTCTATGCCCTGTGCTGTCGGTGCTGTGAAGAATAAGGGAATTGGGAGTTATGTTGGGGGAGAGCTATTAGATAGAGGGGTCAAGGAAGGTCTTTCTTTTTATAGGAGGCCATTTGAACAAAGATCTGAAGGAGCCAAGGAGCTATGTGAAACAGTGGTTTTCATATTTTCTTGTGCATCCACGTTACCTGGAAGGCTTGTTGACACACAGATTGCCACCCCCTACCCCCAGGGTTTCTGATTCAGAAATGTTTGTATTTTTAACAAATTCCAAGGTGATACTGATGCTGCTGGTTCAGGGACCACACTTGGAGAACCACTAAGCTAGAGGAAGAATGTTTCAGGCAGAGGGAACAGCAGGTGCAAAGGTCCTGAGGCATAGCGTGCTTGTCATGTTTGAGCCGTAGCAAGAAAGTCAATGTGGGTGAAGAGAGGAGTAAAGGAGGGGGAAAGTGTCCAAGTAGGTCACAAGAGGTACCAGAAGCCAGATCACATAGGACTTTGTAGCTGTTGAAAGGTTTTCGGTTATACTCTGAGTGAGATATGGAGTAGAGGAGTGACAATATCCAACTTACATTTTTAGAGGATGACTTCTTGGCTGCCATGTTGAAAATAGACTGTAGGAGGCAAGGATGGAAGTAGGGAGATCAGTGAGGAGGCAGCTGCGATTGCGCAGGCAAGAGGTGACGGGGCCTTGGATGAGTGTAGGCGGTGGGAAGATACGGGATTCTGGATGTCCATTGAAGGTCGAGCCCACAGGGTTTATGAAGGATTGGATGTGGGGAGTAAGAGAGACAAGACAAGCGTGATGCTGAAGTTTGGCCTGAGCAACTGGATGGACGGAGCTGCTCTTGCTGAGATGGGGAATACGCCAGGAAGAGCGAGTTCACAGCCCAAAATGAAGAACTCACTCTCAGACATGTTAAGATTGAGATGTCTCCTAGAAGTGGAGCTGTCAAGGGGACAGCTGGATCTCTGAGTCTGGAGGTCAGGAGCAAGATCAGGACTGGAGATACACCTTTGGAGGTCACCAGCAGAGAGGGGGAGTTTAAAGCTTGAGGCTAGATGAAATCAACATGGGAGTACGTTTTGATAGAAAAGAATTGGACTAGATAATTTCTTGAGATTTGGGGGGGGAGAGGCAGACCTCTTCCCTGGGGTGTCACAAGCTGACCAGCGGGCAAGAAGAGGATTTC